AATTTCATATTGTTGCATAGAAATTTAATTGTGATGGCTAGTTCTTTTCATTATTACGTGATGAAAGGTTTTATAATAATAAATAGGTGTTAATTGCTTATATTTTTCTAATGTATGAACGCATGTCCTTAATTAAACATAGTGGTTACCATAGTGGTAACTTTTAAACACAATGCCGTCGTAATGTGTGAAGTCTTGCTTGAGAATGCTCCGGGCACCTGGCTGTAGAAGGAAGAATAGAAATTGCGATAACAAAATCTTAAATAGAATACTAACAATGCTCCAATTAGACTATAATAATGGTAAACAAACGTAATCAAATTCAAAACAACTCAAAGAAATTTCAAACAAACAATAAAATTCTTAAAGAAATATTAGAATGATCACAAATTTTACTCAAATATATGTCAATTCAACCTTAATTTAATTCTAGTTAAAACCCTATTGAATTTCACTCAAATTTAGACCAAACCTAATTAAATCTTAAACCCTAATAATTCCTAAACCCTAAGTCAAATCCTAAACAAATCTTAAATTAAACCCTATTCCATACCCTAAACCCTAAACCAAACCCTAAATCAAATCCTAAACCAAATCCTAATCCAATCCTAAACCCTAAATCAAACCTTAAATCAAATTCTAACCAAATCCTAATCCAAACCCTAAATCAAACCCTAACCAAACCCTAAATCCTAATCCAAATCCTAAATCCTAAACCCTAGCCAAATCCTAATCCAAATCCTAGTAATTCCTATGACAGATTTAAACCTCAATATCTAATGAATAAACCGTTGATCTCAATTCAAAATTTGCACACTTCTTAAAAATCAAGTTCAAAACAAGCAAAAAAAATTTGAAAAGGATCGGAGTTACCAAATTGACGAAAACCTCAAAAATGTGTTCGGGTGTTAGCCGGCCTCCTTCTCCAATCTTGTTGCCAACTTTCCAGAGCCAATTTCGCTTTTGTGCGCCATTCGATTGGTTTCAAATTTCTCATGGACATAGGAAAACAAGTCTAATATCCTCTCACACAAGTTTTACTCCAATCCAACTGGTAGATTGCATGAAATCTTAAAAACCCTCACTGGACCTAGAATTCTACTTTCTGAGACCTTGACTCTTTTAAACCTCAATATCTCTCAGTTCAACCGTTAGATCAAGCTCAAATTCACAACATGTATTTAACACAACTATAACCATGAACCCAAAAAATTTCACCCATAGATCTGCAACAAAACTCTCGAAATCACTCAAAACATAAACCCTATTTTATTTCATAAAACCCAAGTCATCCAAAAAAAAACTCAACTTTGTAAAGCTCTTACAAATTCATATCAACTCCAAATCACCCAAAATCAATGCCCATAGAAACCCTATTCAATCTTCTTTCAAATCCCACTCTCCGATTTGCCAAAGAGTCCCGGAGTCGTCATCGAGACTCGGTTTTGTGCCTCAAGGTCTGATTTCGACCCTGGTTCATAACCGGCCCTCTCCGAGTATCAATATCTAGTTTTTCTAAGTAATTTTTTTCTAGAATTTACTCTTAAATTTCTTCTAAGGATTCCTATATCATTTATTTTCCCAATCTATTTTGATTTGCCTTACTTATGGTACTACAAAGTAAGTAGAAGTCACCTTTCTAAAAGGCAGCATTGATACCTTTTAATTTTTCTACCCCTTTGGCTATTAATTATATTTCTAAGATAATTTGTTCTAATACTTTGAACTAAGATCTCTTAAATTATAATAATCTCCACACTCTTTCACCTATTAATCGTGTTACATCATGACAACGCACTATTACAAAATGTATAAGAATGCAACCAAAATATGTGGTTATACAAAAGCAAGTTTTAATTTTATGTCTAATTTACAATAGAAATAAATTATTATTATAATTATATATTTTTAATATTTAGAAATAGAATAAATATTAATTTTAATATGATCTTAATAATAAATATTTACTTATTATAAAATTCATACTTTTTAAATGGTTGTAGTAATAAAAATGACTACAGTTTGAACTATTTCAAGTATAATCTTAAACATAGAGTAATAGGATGCACAACATCAAAAAATTACTCAACAATTAGTATGAAAGGTTTAATATTTTAGCTTTGGTATCTCTATAGAAACTTATGGACATATGTATTGCTAAAGATGCTTAGACATCCCACAAACATTTAGGACAAAAGATTTTTCAATAATTTCTAAGTAACTAACAATAAAAAGTACAATGTATATGAATTCAATATAAAAACTAAATGTCTGATTTTTAAAAAATTAATGGAAAGCAAGTTTTCTACAGCAAATATGTTTTGCAAACTTCTAACATTTTTAAGTATGCTTTACACCTAAAAGCACCAAATCATATTGATCCTAAACAACAAATCATTATATTCTTTGTAGTTTGATCAAGTATCAAAAAATGAAACAAATAATATATGTTAAAATATATAGAACTTAATTTTTATGAAAATTTTAAACACGAATATCTTTTTATGTTTACAATGTTAGAATTATATCACAAATGCAATAATTATTTGGCATTTATAAGAGAGAATTTAAGAAAAATTTTCACTAAAATTAATCTATTTTTTTAAAAAAATATTTTTTTAAATTTATGCCTTACAAGAATGTACTTTGTCTTTAAAACTCATGTAGCTTGTTCAAAAAAAAATTATAGCTATAAATCTTTATATTTAATACTAAACCCAAAATAGTAAAAATATAAGCATGATTACACACTTCAAATTCACAAACATGTTCTTTTTATAAATTTCTTGCTATTAATTTTTATCCTTTATTATTCTTGCGATCAAGTAACCAATTCAATGTATTTTTTATCAATCAATAAAAAATTCTTTTTGTATAGGTTCTTCTGATTTAATGCACTAAAAAAATATAATAAATCTTATGCATATATTTCAAAATAAAATAAATAAAATAAAATCTGAATCTCCTAGTATAAAAAAAAAAAAAAAAAAAAAAAAAACTTATATTTGATTATATCTTCAATCTTACAAATCACACAAATTTGAGCTAATGACTTCATTAATAGAAATATGCATTTTGTAAACTTCTCCAATTTATTTTTTCAAAAACGTCCATCATTAGTCCTAATAAATGCATTAACCTTAAATGCTTAATTTATGCTTGTGTACATATATAGTCTTTAATAACATATTTGATGTAAAAGTGCAACTTCTACATCCTTTTTGACATTAGAGACACTAGTAACATTCTAAAAATTTGTAGAATTTTTTTTCTTCTTTGCTTCAAAAACATCTTTGCAATACTCTCATTTTACACATAAAAATTCCACATACAATACATAAGATTCAAATTTAATTCCATAAAAAGATTATTTAAAATATGTATAGTCCCTTAATAATACAATAATTTGTTTATCTTTTTGGTTTATCTTTCTAATGTATCTCCTTATCTTCATTTATTCTGTCTTCCTCCTCCTCCTTCTCCTCTCTCTATTTATTTTTATTTTTATTATTATTATTCTAATCTTATTTAAATTAACTAAATCTTTTTGATTACATGATACCTTCAATTTTAATTATTACAAAATTTGGATAATTTTTTATACATACTTAAAATTCATATTTGATAGTTACATTCTTAGTTTGTTTATAGAATATACCAAAAATAAATATTGAAATTTTAAAATGAATTACAAATAGAAACTAATAATAATAATAATAATAATATTTTTATGATGTAATGCAATGTTCATAAAATAATTTTTTTAAACGTATTTAAAATTTTAAAATTGTATGATAATTGTTCAAAAATTTATTATTATTTATTAAAATATCCTAAGGTTTTTAAACTAATTGTGTGACATATTTATATTTAACTTATTATGTTAATTTTCAATAATAGTAAAATTTTAATTTAAATCCTAAAATTATTTAAAAACCTACTTCTTCAATGTTCATGTGAATATTTTTTTAGTCTTTTTTAGATTGTAATAATTGTATACATGTTTAAAGCAAGTAAAGGGCCTGCAGGTATAGGGGTATTGTGTAAATTTTATTGAATCTTCTATTTCTTTTTTCCAGTATTTATTAAAAAATTTGAGCTCATTTTAAGTTTAAAAACTTCTAAAATTGTTGTCATTTAAATTTGATGTTGTCACTTTGATTTACCTATTAGAACGTTTTGTACAATCACCAAATACAAAAACTCAATTCATGTGAAATAGGATTTTAAAAAGCAAGTAAATATTCAATCTCTAGGACAAATTAATAAATTTTGAAAAGTATTTCAAGGTGACCAACACACATAAAAAGAAACAATGAAAAGAAAGTTTTTTTTATCACCTTCCAATTGACTTCTGCTTAGATTGAATCTCTGAACAGTTTCCCCTCTAATATGCAGCAAATTAGGTCACATTGTCCAGCCTTGATTTTTGTCCTCCTTCCATTTAAGTTACAAAAAACACCATTAATCCTCATCATAGCCTTCTATCATCCAAGAGATAAGGAAAAAAGAGAAAAAAAAAACACACACACACACAAACATGGACACAAACATAAAAAATAAAAATAAAAAAACAAACAAACAAAAACAAAAACAAAAACAAAACAAAATACTCATCAAAACTCCACTGCATACAAACTTCCTCACAAAACTTCGATTTTGGAAAAAAAAAATAAATAAATAAAAAAACTCCACCTTTACTGTAAACTACTCGCAACAAACAAACAAACAAACAAACCCACCCAAAGCAAAGACAATGAATTCCTTCACCAAAAATGCAGTTTTCAACAGCAAAGATATTCTCATCCAGCAGTCGATTCCACACGAACAAACAAATATACAATCAAACAAACACTTTCTCCGAAATCCTGTTGCAACAAAACGAGTGTTGGGATCCATTACCAAGACGAGTGAAAGGGAATGAATGGTGAAGCTGGCTCCCCCCTCTGCAGTGAAGATGGTGAAGAAGAGACTGGGGAAAAAGCAAGCAACAATCACGTAGTTAGCTAGCAACGCAATAGTGAAATTGGGTCCCCCAGCAGCAAATTGGCTGCCTTGCTGCACAAAATGGTGGTGTTGCAATGGTGGTGGGTAGGTGCATGATTGAGAGAGACCACAACGTTTCCATGCTTTTCTTCTTCCATGTGTTGTTGTTTCTGTGAATGAGTTCATGAGAGGGCCGAATTGCTTAAAGCGGCGACGCCATTGAACCTTTTGTGCCTGGAAGTGGGCCTTTGACTCTCTCACAACTGGAAGCAAGTCAGTCAGTCAGTCAATCGTTGTGGTGAGCGTGATAGTCAGTCAAATGGAGTGGGCTGTGCCGTTGCCCTTTCGTGTTGCCGCCCCACATCTTAATTAACTTCATGGATACTAACTTAGACTCCACTACTGGTTTTTTTCGATTTGGCTGCCGCTGCACGGAAACCTGCTTAATTAATTGTTTGTGTGAATGAGATGTACAGCGGGAAGTTCTGCGTGAAAGTATTTTGCTCTTTTTTTTTTCTTTTTTCTTTTTTTTAATGCTTTTTTGCTTTTCTTATGATTAGGATTTTCATTCATCATTGTGCGGTCAAAGAAAATGGAACATTCATTTTCGAATGATTGATATTGTGCTGGAACCTGAAGCTCGTTTCGCAGGGTGTGTGTGTGTGTGTGATGTGTTTTGAGTGTTTGTTAGGGAGGCGCGTGGATGGAGTTGGATTACGGTGAAGAAGGCGAGGAGGAGGAATTTTATGGTGGAGGAGACGCTTGTGGATCGTTGCTGCTTTGTGGGTTGTTGTTCGTTGTGGGTTGTGGTGGTGCTGTGTAATTTGGGCGAGACTTGGTTCGGGGTTGCTGGGTGGTAGTGTCACGGCGACTCATGGCGGTGCAAGCCATGGCGCGTGGTTCCTTGAACGGAGGATTCAAACCCTCTACTACCGCATGCGCTGCTCATCGACCCTGTTGTGCGCACAGTGTGCGCATTTCGCCGTCTTCTAGTATGCTGTCTAGGCCCAACTGTGCTAGTTTCCACCAAAATTGTGTACAAGCTAATGTATCGCGTTCCAGAGTAATAAGACGATGTGGAGGTGGTGGTGGTGGTGTTCACGAGCTCTTCTCGTGTCACCGCTGCTTGAGCCCCTTGTTGCCTTTCAGGAGCATACCCTCCCCAATGTTGCCCTCAAGGACATTGTCTCGGTTTGTCGTTAGAAACGCGAAAGAAAGTAAGGGTAAAGACTCGAAAGGGAAGAAGCCGGGTGGTAAAGGAGGGGGAGGGAGAGGAGGAGGAGGAGCAAAGTCTCAGGGAGAAGCTGCTGCTGCTGGGAAAAATTCAGCTCCAGCGAAGAAAGCAGGTCCGAGGGCTAATGTGTGGAGTAGAGATGTTGCAGAAGCAGAGTATCAAGCCTCTAGAGGCGATTCAGCGAAAAATCCTAGCTCAAAGCAGAACGGGCGAAGTGTTACGGCAGGAGGAGGAGGCAGACAAGGCAGTGATGGGAAATCAGGAAGAGGGCAAGGTTCTAACGGAAATGGAATTGCGCCTCAAGTTGCGGCAGGGAGGCTTGAAATGAACTTCGACGACGATGACTACACTGGCGTGGTGGCTACGGGAGGCATTCCTGTTGAGGTCCAAGAAGTGCTTCAGGCGCCGGTATGGCTCACTCATTTGCACCAGGGATTCTAGCTCATCGCTTCTCTCAACCTAAATAACTAAATTTCGAAATTGGGCTGTCGTTGTCCCCACCGTTCTCGATAATGCAATCTGTTCTTAACGACCACAGCATGCCCTGAGGGTTTCCTCACTTTTAGCTCTCACGCTTGTGAGCAATTTGACGCAGCATGGCTCCGCTTGTGCACTGAAGATTTTTGCGTCGATTTTATACGACGGTCAGGCATGAACCCCATTTGCGCTTTATCCAGAGAGGTACCTGACCCCAGTATCCAGGGTCTCACTGAATTTATTAGGGCCTTGGCTGTCATCACTAAATCAATTACCTGCGTTGACAGGAACAAATGCCCAACCCGTTATGGCCAACATTTGTGAGCAGCAATGCGGGAGTGTGGCAAGGGATCGGAGCTGCATTCTCTCCCATTACAGCTGAGATGGAGCCAGTGGCACTTGGAAGTTCGAAAGAGTATCTCTACGACGCCACTGTGCTGTGCAATGTAAACATTATCCCAGGTCCGGAGAATGATAAAATCAATGGCACCTCTCTGCACCGCAAGGTCATGTGGAAGGTTGGGAATAGCCAAGGGGAGCTAGGATATGAAGAGGTACTATTCTCATCCTAATCATCTAAATTGTCGGTTATTTTTAGGTGATTCAAATCTGTACCAAGATCTGCAGATGTTCTCTCCAAGTCTCGATCCCATTTTGCATTTGGGTTTTGTTTTATAAAAAATTGTCTGGTTGCTTTGTCTGAAAAGGATCCTAGTCTTCACGTTAAGCATAACGAAATTACTTAAAAGATTGAGGGGAATTGACAGTTCGATGACGATGACGAGTTTGAGGACGACGATCTAGAGGGTGAAGGGGACTTTACCGAGGGTGAGGGCATTAATGCTATTGAGCTTGCATCGTCAGCCATCGCAGAAGGTATGGTTTACCCACCGGAGGCTACAGGAGAGGAATTTGGCACTGTAGAGGAGACCAAGGCGTTCCTTCAAGGCGCAGAAGCTAGACCCGAGGCACTTTACAATCCTGACAAGGAAAACCAAGAATGTGGTGTGCTCAGAGAAAGTGATCCAGAGTGGAAATCTATGTTCAAGGCGGAAACAGCTGATGCAGGGTTGGTAGAAGAGCTAAGGAACGCTACCGTGGGCACCGCTGCCGCTGTGGATGAGGCACCTCTTGCAAATAGTGATAATGTTTGGACCGAAGTTATGGAAGAGGACACCATGACCATGGAACCAGGCCTTGTTTTTTTCTCGGTCAGTGTTTACGTCTCTCATCTTTCTCGTTATCAGTTCATTTATCTGAGTACTCTTTCCCTGTACTGGAACTGTGTGTGGACACACCACCTTGGTATCTTCTGGATTTGTGGATTGTGAATAGGAATGGCTGCCATGCTAACTCACACCTTGTGGTGATATAGGATGGTTCCTACTCAAGAGGCCCTGTATCGCTTGTGCCAGATGATCTTGCTGCAAGCTACCCTGGGTACAAGGAGTCTCCAACATTTAAAATAGAGCAGGTAAAAGAAAAATTGCAGTGCTTGTTCTTACTTGTTAAATTGTTAGTGTTGCATTCTATATATTGTCGGCGAAACAAGTTTATCAAGAAGCAACTGAAATGAGAAAACTTGTCTCCAGTATGTATCCAATCTTTCTTGCACGATATGGAATCTGCTGATAGTGAAATGCATCATCTAGTTCACTCCTGCATTACATTTCCTGAATGTAAGTGGTAATATTTTGTGACTTTTCAATGAGATTATCCGCACCTTGAAGTTGCCGACAAAGTCTTCGTTGTAATTTTGCAGTGCTTAGTGACGGGCAAACATAAAAGGTTACGTCTTGTTCACACCATTGCCATCATGGAATCGGGAGAAGAGATTCAAGTTCTCCGTGTCGCTGTATACGAAGAACAATGGATGGGTCCTTGTAATATGGAGTCTATCAGGTACAGTTCTTAAACAATTGCCCCAAAACAGCGGAGACGTTGCTTTTTGACCCGTTTGTCACCATCGCTGAACTATTTTAGATTATTGGTCTAAAGATAGCAACATTTTATCATTTGAAGTTCCATTTTCAGAAGCTGACCATTTTTCCTGTTTTGAGCACCAGTGAAACAGGGGGTGTCTACCTAGCACCCTTTTCTCAACGAGACCGGCTCTCACCAAACAAGTTGACAGGCTCCTGGAAGACCTTCGAGATGAGCGCCATGGCGATTCATCAGCCCGATGCCTCGCCCCTGACCCGACCTGCATATGCACAGTTTTGTCAAGAAGTAATGCTGAAGCAAGATCTCCCAGAGCCCCTCATGGAGTACTTCGAAGAGGAAGAAGAGAGCGAACCCATCAGCGAGGATCCTGCTGTTTTATGGTTACCAGGTGGCATCACAGCCACAGTGCAGGCAAAGGAAGAAGGAATTCTGACAGTAGGGATAGGCTGGTTCTACGATAAGGGGACGTTTTTGGCGATGGAGCGAGATTATGGGCCTGACGGTAAGCTTTCAGAAGTGAGATCACAAACCAAAGTTAAGGGCGGGTGGGCAGGTGGTAGGATGTAGTTCACTTGCTATTGTCGAATTATATACAAATTAAGTGAGTTTCACGCATTCTGTGCAGGAGTGACAACCAAGCAAACATTTTTGTAGACACACATGATACAGATTTTTGCAACTTTGATTAATTCTTACATGGAGTACTTAGCAGTTTTGGGGGTGATGATGTCATTGTTCAATAATTGGAACAGTATAATTTTATGTGTTGATACCAAGAATAAAGACAATTGTGATCATTGGAAAAGAATGTCTGATATTTAATGGATGTTAATATCTCAAACTGACACATCTCTAGGGGTCGGTCGTGCTGGCATAAATTGTTTATAAAAAGTGAGCGTTATATCTTCGGTTTTTTCTAGTGCCACTCACATTCCCTTAACTGTTATGATAATTATTTATGGTATGTATACCTTGTATTGTCACTTAAAGCAATAATAGAATGTGGAATCAAATGGAGGTGAAAAGCATGTGATTAAGAACGCTTAAAAAGTCCAATTGGTCAACAGTAAAAATTTCTAACAATTAATAAATGCATGATACAAATATTTCTCATATGTTTTTATTGTGGAATAGTTACAAATACTTATGCCAGATGTTTAATCCTCAAACCGAAAATTGTGTTGAATAATGTTATGGAAACTATGGAATATTGAAGATGTATTTTTATCTTAAATTTTAAATGTTTTTAATAGATTTCTATGTATATATATATATATATATATATATGTATATATGGATATAACTAGTGGGTACCAAGCATGAGTTGTATTTGCATCTCATTTATTAATTTGTAAAAAAAATTGCACCAATATTTTACATTTGTCTTTTCTTTCAACATTAGTACTTCAAAAACCATTGTCACGTCAAGTTTGTTTTTTGAATTTTTTATTTTTTGTATTCAAATTTAAAGAGCATTGTAATTTCTCACTTATCATCTAATTAAACGACGTACAACATGCTTTTAATTCTCAATCCATGGCAAGATGTACCATTTGGATTTATGAATATTTTGAAGAATGTCAAGACAATTAAAGTAAATAAAAACTCAGTGTTAACCACGGATTAGAATATTCCAAAAGTGAAGCAACTTTAAAACAATATATCTTTTAGAATCTTTTCAAATTTCCAGATACATAAATTTCATTTCAGATATATTTTAAATTTAATTTAATCATAAAAGGATGATATGTCATTTATAAAAATATACATTTATCCACTAACCTGGTAAACAGGTTTACACCTTGAGTATAGAATTTTTAAAATATCATTTTATTTTCCCCAGTAATAACTAAAAAAAAATTGAGTTTGCTATCGACGTTAGCAAATGAAAATAATATCATTTCAATAGTTGGTGAGAACTGCATAAGAGCATCGTATAAACAACATACATACTATTTATATACTAACGTCGTTTGAGCACACCATAACAAATTATCTATAGTTTTTAGCACTTTTTTATGTATGTATATCATATCCTCATTATTTTGATAGAATTGGAGCTTTTTTTTTTTATCACATTTATGGGACGTCAGGGTAAGAAAAACAGCTTTAAAATAGACTTCAAAGAATTACACAAAAACGAACAAAAAGAAACTGTCCACTTCGAAGTTCTGTTAAGAATGCATTGTCCACAAGGAGAACGAAGAATTTAATCTTCCAGGTATTTTCTTTATGAAGCAGTGAAACTGGAGGTTGTACAATCAAACTGCATCACAAAGCATCCACTCTTTGCAACCCACATTTCTGTATCCATAAATTGCAGGAAAACTCTAGTCCATCAAAAGAAGCATTCAGTGGAGGCCTAATCGCTAAAGCAAAATTAGACTACACGTATTCTACAAGAAATTTATCCCTAACCCATTCCCTTCCTCTAAAACCCACACATGAAGAAACGAACACTCAATATTTAGATCAACACAAGCAAACCACTAAGTTGAAACCATGTCGGTAAGCAACATCAGAGACTTGCTTTCACCTTGTATAGAATATTCCCGGTGCGAGAGATAGAATGCATACTGCTCATAAGCTTCACTCCATGGCGCTCGCTCATTCTGGTCAAGTAGCAACAGCAACCCACAGTCTGCAACGCAACGCTGCTACGAGATAATCCACCGCCAACAAGCTCACATACACACATCATTCTCCACAAGGAATGCAAGCAAGAGCAGGCTCGTGTAATTCCTGGTCTGTTATTTGCCGTTATACATTCATGTCGCATACGCAGAGTTTAAAAAGAAAACCACGACCTGGTGTGGGTTGGGCGTGCGAGACATCGCCTCTTTCCTGCCTAACTCTGGAACTCGCTCGGAAAAACGTTTTTGGGGTCGGAGTTCGCCACCGACGTCTTCCCCTTTAAGTAGTGCTTCAAGAGATACGTGGTGCTGTAGTTGAATCCTTGCACGGGAGCGTCCTTCGTGCGTGCTTCGTTCAGCTGCGAGCGCACCTTGGTAGCCAAGCTTTTGCCGAGCTCCACGCCCCATTGGTCGAATGAGTTAATGCCCCACACGAATCCCTGTACTGCGATTCGGTTCTCGTAGAGGGATAGCAGCTGGCCAACGGTGTAGGCGTTGAGCGCGGGGAGGAGAATGCTCAAGGAGGGGCGATTGCCAGTGAAAACCTTGTGAGGGACTAGAGACTCCTTCACATTCTCGGCTTGCAGATCCTCCCGCGTCTTGCCGTAGGCGAGAGCATCTGCTTGAGCGAAGAAATTTGACATGAGCTCGTCGTGGTTGCTCACCTTCTCCCCGATCATGTAGATAGGCTTCTGACTCTTCACGGAGCCAATAAAGTCGCAGGGGATGGTGCGCCCCTGGTGGATCAGCTGGTAGAAGCTGTGCTGGCCGTTCGTGCCGGGCTCCCCAAATTCAATCTCCCCCGCTTCGAAAGGTAAACGCGTGCCGTCGATTGCGACGCCTTTGCCATTGCTCTCCATGCTAACTTGTTGAATGTGTGGTGCGAGTTTCTGCAGAGCTTGTGAGTAAGGGAGAATTGCACGAGCGGGGTACCCGAGGAAGGTGACGTTCCATACGCTGAGAAGCCCGAGGAGCACCGGGAGGTTTTTCTCCAACGGTGTATTGCGGAAATGCTGGTCCATGCTCCACGTCCCTTGCAGGAACTCCTCTACTTTCTCGAATCCGTAGTGCAACGAGAGGGGTAGGACACCCACCGCGCTGGTAACGCTGTAGCGTCCCCCCACCCAGTCCCAGAAGGCGAAAGCATTCTCCGGGTCAATGCCGAACTCCTTCACAAGCTTCAAGTTCGTGCTCACCGCAATCATGTGCTTCGACACGGCATCTGCTCCGAGCTTCGACGTGATCCATGTCCGGCAAGTCCTCGCATTCAACATCGTCTCCGCCGTAGTGAATGTCTTCGATACGACCACCACGAGGGTTGTCTCCTGAGAGAGACCCTTGAGCGCGATGGACGCATCCACAGGATCCACATTTGAGAGGAAGCGCAGCGAGCGACCCTTGGAGAGCTCTTGAGCGGACGGGTCAGTTTCGAGAGCGCTGTGCACAAACAACGGACCGAGGAAGCTCCCCCCAATACCGATTGCGACTACGTCTGTGAGGGGCTTCCCGGTAGCACCAATCCAATCCCCGCTCCGCAAACGCTCGGCGAAGGCCTTTATCTTGTCCAGTGTGGCCCAAACCTCAAGGACAACGTTCTTCCCGTCGCATAGAATTTCAGCATCGCGAGGCGCTCGAAGGGCGACGTGCAAGACGGCCCGATCCTCGGTTTCGTTGATGCGTTGGCCGCTCCACATTGCCTCGATCTTCTCCGAGAGCTTGGCTGCCTGGGCAAGAGAGAGGAGGCCTTCCACGGTCTCTGCAGTTGCACGTTGCCTGCTGTAATCGAAAACGATTCCGTCAACTTCTTTGATCATACCCTGGCAGCGTTTCTCATCTTTCAAGAGGTCCCGGAGATGTGTCTTGTTGATATCTTCGACGTGCCCTTGCAGCTTCTTCCATGCTGCGCTGTCCGCTATCGTCCCCTTCGCCATAGCGACTGCTGGAGGAACCCAATTCGAGATTTCAACAAAATCTCAGCACAATTTTAGTTCAAAATTGCTCAACGTGGTGCATTCCTGCAGCGAATCCAAATGCGCGAGTCAAAACCAGTTCCTAGGAGAATTCGAAAACGAGCAGTCAAAATTCAAAACCAACAAACAATCACGAATCAACGCACTGTTTGCAATGACACGGCTCCCGGTAGTAACACGATGATATCGAAAGGTCAGCAACCCCAACGCGATGCAAATCTAGCGATACAAAACCTCTGTTAACCCTGACCTTGAACAAGCAAGGAATCAAACGCATCACCAAACCCTCCTCCATCATACCACGAAACATTGGATCAAATTCACAACCCTGTGCCAATTGAGTATGACAGCTCTAAGAAAAGTTCGCAATGCTCGAACAAAACAGTCAACTTCAGAAAACCCAATCTTCCCAGGACACGAATCGTAAACAGGAGCCGATTGATGTTTAAGATGCAACAAACAACGGTAGTAAGGGATGACAATGTGCAGAACAGACGGTTTGTCTCATCAAAGACATGGAAATTCGCACCCACACAACAAATCTGAAGCCAACTCCAGCACAGCTCAGTCCCAAATCCCTCAAACTATTCAATCGCCATTCCCTCATCCCCCACAAACAAAAACAGAAAACAAAACTAAACAAAAAAAACACACCCAACAACGCTCCCAACACAGCAATGCAAACCTTCACCTTAACAACTACACATCCTTACAAACAAACACACGAAACCATCCCAGAGAGTGCACAATGCGAAAAACCCACCTCGCAGGACAGCACCCACTACAGATCAAACCCCCCACTACACCACAATACACCAGCTGGGGGAAGAAGGCGACGATTGAGTGAGCAAGCGGTGTCGATTCAGGTTTTGACTAAGAGAGAGACAGAGAGCGCTGCGAGAAGCCAAAAACGAAGGTTCCGGTGGCATGAGGAACCATACACAACAGTGAATCGGCAAGAAATAATAATGAATAATAATAGAAGAACAGTACTAGTAGTAGTCGAAGAAGAAGATATTACGGAGGCGTCATTGGTGGCGGAGTGCCGATCATCGCCGATCATCACTGGTCAGCCATTCATAAACACACACATTCATAAGGCTCACTCTCTTCCTTGCCAAATATGACGTGCTCGCCAAACCCCACGCCCACTTCCCTCCCTTTTGCTTTCTCTCACCCCCCCCCCCCCCCACAACCCCCCTCCTTCCTTTTACTTTTCATCTTCTTCAATTCATTCATCTGACTACATTCATTCACTCTCCCAGGTGCATTCTTTTTAACTTCTTTTTTAAATTCTAAATGTTTGATTTGAATGTTCTAACATGTACCCACACACCCATTTCTATAAAGACTTAAGCTTGGGACTATTTCAAATATATCTTTTATAGGGTTTTAAAGTAGAGTCCAAATCAAGGATGGGGTGCACTCAAAATAAGTATACGTAACATATATCTTTGACTTGTTAAATACTTATATTATATTATATTATACTTATTAATATCACGATGCATAAATACAAACTCTAAGTAACGATAATTAGCTTCTGTGCAATTACTTACTTAATAAAATTATTTTAAACCATCACTCTAATACTAAAGTTCCATATTCATATGTATGCTTTTAAAAATTCTCATTCAGAATATTTTTTATTTAAATAAATAATTGAGAAAAAATTCATAAAGTCACTAATATGAACACGTGTATAATGAAATTGTTTAAAATTCATGTAATTCTTTGCCCTTCAATCAAACGATAAACAAAAATTATGACGTGTATTTTATTTTATTTTATTTTTACTTTTATTTGTTTGATAATAATAAAAAAATAAAAAATAAAAAATAAAACTCTGCGAAGTAAAACAAACCTGTAAAGGTTAAGAGACATTTACCGAACAAGAGGGACTTAAACTTAAATTTGTATGTGTGTATATATAAATATACTGTGACTAGGGGAAAAAAATATAAAATAAAATAAAAATCATGTAACAATTTCTTATTTCATGAAAGAGCTATTCATCAAATAATAAATAAATAAATAAATAAACAAATGAAATTAAATAATTAAAAAGCCTTACGTAGACCGGAAGTCTCCCGTTAATATTGTTTCATTCGTCGATCCTACGAAGGCAATCATCCACTTGGATGGATGAACTTAGGGGTAGAGACTCTCCCTGCCTTCTTCCACTTTTCTACGCAGGCAAGCTCTGTTTGTCGAGCTCCTTATCCATTACGTCGCTGCTTTAACCTGCAAGAATACCCTCTCTCTTTTTTTTTCTTTTTTTTTTTTTCCTTTATTTATTTATTTATTTATTTTTTGTTTTCCCGAATTGACAGATACACAAAGATACAGCAGCATTTCGCAATGCTGCAAGTCGGTAGGCAGCTGTGGAGACCTTCGAGTTTTAAGCTTCTATGGCTGTCGCCTCGCTTGAGCCCTGGCTCGTCCCCCAGATCATTGATCTCTACTTCCTGCTTCATTTCTTCTCTGAAATCGTTGGATCGTGCGTCTGGCGACTGGGGTAGTCTGCAATTATCAAGCTTACCGTCATGGAGCATCAGGTAATCATGTTTCAACTGAATTCGTCATTCGGATAGTTCCATGCTTGGTGTACTATTATTGTTTTGAATTCTTCTGTGTTCAAGTTGATGTAGTGACTCAAATGCATGTAATGTGGCCGAACTGAGGAAGGTGATGTTGCCAAATCTGCGAAATCGTCCACATCATCAGCTCCTTCGTACATTCGCTTGTCGTTTAAATGATTTTGTGGAGGGTCTCTTACTTGGAGATGTTCGGTAAAAGTAAGATAAAGACCTTGGAATTGGAGACGGTCTCAAATTTCAGGGTTGGGAGTGTTTGAGGCGTTAGCATAATGAACTCAGCCCCACTAGCAATATTTATGCCACTTTGAATTTGTTGAACTTGGTTTTAGATTTCTGCTGAGTTCTCGTGCTGTGGGCTATTTATGAGTGAATTTCTCTCCGTGGGTTACTCATGCAAATCCCGGAACCAGAGAATAGTCCAAGGAGTAGAAATGAGCATTTTACAAATTGCAAATCCTGGTTTGTGTCTGATGTAGCAACACTGGAACATTCCTGCTAATTCTGCAGGTTTATCTTGCTAGGGTTTATCATTACTGGTCAATGTTTGATTTCACGTGTCTAATTGGTGCGAATGACCACAATCATGGATGTTAAGATCACACGGATTGCCAATCAAACTCCTCTGCCCAATGAACTTGTTCTGATGAACTCTGTGGTAACTGTTTAGTGTTAGTATCCTCCATTAAATAGATTGTCGTGCCTTGATTCGTCAGGGAAGCGCATTCAGGAACCGCAGGCAAGAGCCACGGAAGAAGAAAGAAGAGTATCAAGCCGAGTCTTTTGCAATATACCAAACGTGGGGATGCCCTTGAAGAGTCGACCGAGGAAGATATTACAGAGGATTCTGATGAGAAGGAAAGCAAGGGACAGAGTAAAAGAAAAGCTCTGAGGGCTCTGAAGTGGGCGAATGAGCTTGCTACTTTCTCTCCCTCTCAGCTTCGGCAAGCTATTAGGTGGACATTGCCCATTGTATTTTACTTATTAACCACATGCTAGAATTTATCTCATTTTGTGTATGATGTCAGATAGAAGAAAATCATAAGTAGCGTACGTTTTTTTTCTCGCTCTCACACTCTGAACTTGCAGGTGGGCATCTCTAGATGAGGAGGTTTACGATGCTGTCATGCTGGTCAAGGTATAGTGGCATTCGCTGCGTATCTACTTGTGTTTAGTAATAGTGGACTGTTCCATCCCACCATAAGTTCATCTCTTGTTCTGTCTCGACGTCTGAAAATGTGAAGTTTAATTATATTTCTTTCAATCAGCTTGCCTGTTTGTTAATGCTTTGCGTTGTTTTTTTTTTGGTTTACAGTCATTGAGTCCTAATGTGCGGAATGGGAAGAGACGGCAATTCAATTTCATAGGTGAGCACTTTCACTTCATGCTGATATACAAGTAAGAAAATGGATTGATCGTGGTCTCTTTTATTTAGAGTGGATATTCGATCTAGCTGATGTCATATGCATGTGGACCTTTAGTTCAGTCATGTATGAAGTTGTATCTTTTTCTTGGACACCTATTTATGAAATGTAGCAGCCACTTATACTTTTGTGGCTGCTTAGGGGGGCTACTTCGAGAAGCTGATCCTGAATTAATGGAACAGGTTCTGACGGCGTGCAAAGACGGCGATCTTTCAGGTTTAATGGCTCGAATTAAATTATCTAAATCAAGCGAAGACCCAATCAATGAGAAAGAAGCCAGTGATGAAGAAGTGGAACTCCTTTCTGAAGTATGATGCAGTTGTGCTAACTCATGGTTCTTATGATTCTTGTTGACATAACTGTAGATCCCCATGATGTGAAGAACATGAAAATATGGGGAGATTAGAACTTACCTTTTTTTCTCTGTAAGCAGGAGGCGAAGATAGCCACGCGGTGGTTACAAGGCCTTCTAGATGGTGAGAGGGCTGTAAACGATGAAGTTTTTTCAACTGCAGATGACGTGTACTTCGACCGGCAGGTACGTAGTACGCCCTGTTGTGCAGTTTTTGTTTATGGGAGCGTTATGGATTTTATCGGTTACTGAAGTGGGTACTTCATCAACTATTATACTTGTTCAATGAGCCTAGGTGGTCTTAGGGTCACTTCTATGTAGCTTTTCAGACATTTTTGATTATTCAGTGCGGTCGAAGAGATTATTGTTTGAAAGAATTATGATTAAGAATTTCGAATTACAATGTAAGTATTTGTTTCAAGACATGCAATCTGTTTAGTATTTTTGTTCAGGTGGTCATAAACTCCTGAATTTCAATTTCTTTCTTTTGATTTTGCAGGAACTAAAGAAGCTAATGCGAGCAGCTAAGGGAACTCAACTTGTTAAGTCCACTGATAGATCTGTAGAAGCCACAAAGGCATACAATACTCTGTTTGATTTTTTATTTGATCTTGCTCAAAGACGGGAAAATGACGCTTGATCATATAAATTGTCAACCTTCTGATCAAGATACCAGATTTTTCCATGGCGCATTCTAAGCTTGCTTAATTTACATTGTTAAGATGCAAATTTTTTAATTCATATATGGTTGCATCATCTTTCTAAAAATATTACGAAAGAAGTTCTAATTGTGTTTGACTTTTTTTTATATAAAACACACAAGCAAACATGAAGATACTGACACGTACAAATCTTTAATGAAAGAATGAACTTTTTGAGGACAAAACAGCACAAAACCACAAGATTTTAATTTCTACATTATCATCTCAACAAATGCCAATTATCTAATTGAATTGACCACCTCCATATTAAGTAACTAATATTTAGATTCATCTTGAGTTGTTTTAATACTGTACACACCCATATCATTTGACGGCCTCCAACATGATGTGATGTGTTGGATTAAATTAGTGCTGAGGCGTTTCTTTTGAAAACGTGCACTAAAATACAACTGTAGTATATTTAGTGCAACACTGTTGTAAAAATATAAGTCTACATTTAAGAAATAAATCTACACATATAAACATATTATAATTAACTGAAATAAAATGCATTATTCTTCTAATTTGATTTAATTATTATTTGATAGCCAAATAACATTATTGTAAAGAATTCATTTTTTTAAAGCAAAAATTTATGATAATACTAGTACTTTATTTTAATAATAATAGAATTTTTGTTCAAATTAAATTTATTTGATTATTCAAAAAATACTTGTAAAATTTTATTGTATATGTAAAGTTTTATTTCATATTATATTAATTTATTAATAAAATTTTCATCTTTTTCAAAAGAATTATTGCAATTAATTTTACATACATTTCTACATTTATTTTATTTTCTTAAAAATATATTTTATTAAAAGACTTAGTCTTTTTAACATATTTCATAAGTTGTTCTTGTGAAATTTTAATATTCTTATATTAGGTTTTATTATTTATTAAGTAAAAATATATAAAAATATAAATATAAAAATATAAATATAAATATAAATATACAAATATAAATATAAATATATAAATATATATATATAAATATAAATATATAAATATAAATATATAAATATATATATATATAAATATAAATATATATAAATACATATATAAATACATATATAAATATAAATATATATATATATATATATATATATATATATATCACATATACACATTATGTTGATATGCTTTAAAATCATTGTCATTATAAATTTAGTTGTATTTGATATTTCAACATCAAATTGTGTTATATCTAATCTTTTAGAATTAAATTGCAATTTCATACAAATTTTAAAACTTCTAGAAGGATATCATGTCTCTACATTTATCTATACTCAAGCTCCAAATTTCTTAATCCATCTTTTAGCATTACATGCATTGCTAGCTATATTGCTCAGTTGAGATTATTTCAACAGTTACTTGGAGTTTTTAAGATTCAAAATTGAAACATTTCCATCTTTCTTTCTCTTCTAAATGTTTTTCACAACATCACTACACTCAAAATAGATCTTGAAACCTTTTGACTCAAAAAAAAACACAATCATGTTTTTTTTTTTAATAATGTCTCAAAAACCATCGATGTAGTAAAAAAAAATTGAATCAAGGAGCTATCATTAACAAAGATAGTAAATAATATTGTTATCAATAAATAGGAACAAAAATACTAAGCATTGTAAATCAGCAATTGGTGAATATTGATAGTACTGCAATAAAGAAGACTTCATATGTAGTGTATGTATCTTTTTGTATATGACATTGTTTGTTCAGCTTGTAATTAGTGACGACATAGGTTGTTGGTGTATAAAAGTAACTATTGAAATAAGCTCAAGCAACAAGGAGGTGTTTTTAAAGTATTTAGTTCATAAATTAGATAGGTAGTGCATACATCCTTAGTCCTAGCATCTACAATCTTCACACCATTACAAGTGTGAGCTTTACATATTCCAACACAATACAAGGACATTTACATGTGTCTAGTCAATCAATTGACACAATAATTCTTTTGAGTGGCAACTCCATTTCTATTACAATGTTAAAACACATCATGATTGATATAAACATGGGGTTTCAGATTTGGCAATATAATATAAGAACTTTAAAACATGGTTTGTAATAAAAAAATTGATTATAGTTGAGGAGCTTGAAAACAAATCTTATCACTTAATTATAGATATATGTGGCTTCTTTAGATAGTAAAAAAGTGCAAAAGATTTTATTAATAAAGTAAAATAAAAGTATCCAAATGCATTCAAAATAAGCTCCGAGGAGGATATAATAAGTGGTCAAATGTTGGTAGTACCATTAATAGGTTTGGATTGTAACAATACTTGCATATTAATAATGGAAGAACTAGTTGAGGTGGACATACTATAAGATAGTGATTACCAAAGTCTCGTAAGAAAAAAATTCTTTATAATGCAGCAAGGAGTATTTGAAGGATTGTGACTATATTGAGACAATATATTTTGCTAAAGAATAATATTTGAATATAATGTTTATCTTAAAATTATAAAAAAATATCTCTAAGTCGATGTTAAGGACATGAATTAAAACAAGAAGAACCTTAAAACACTCTTATAGAACTCAAAAAGAATAAATATTTATTTAAAAGTAATATAATGTTAAGACTAGAATGGCTATTACCAAAGACAAGAAGAGTATAGATTCTTGAAACTAGACTAAGAATAAGAGAGACGCTGACAAGAGTAAAGAAGACTTTACTCTTACCTCTATATATACTATCTAACTAAAAGCTATGTGGCAATGTTCTACAGGACCTCTAATACATGTTGATTTTATAAGACATATGTCTTAACTTACAAGACAAGTTTTTTATATGTGTGCCATATAATTAGCTTGTTCTACAGGCTACCAATACATGTGACATGTGATTAACTTGTTGATCAAGTTTCTAATTTATTAATCAACTATAAACATGTACAAAATCAAAGCTGTATCTATGAAGCTTTTAAAAAGCTTTTGTAAAAGATATTATGAAATTAATTTACTTTTATCTACTTTAATATCATAAACATACATATTTATTCTAATATTTACCTATATGATTAAATGGAAGTAAGTAATAATAGATTTATTTCATAATATTTTCTAAAATTGCTTCTTAGAAGCTTTATAGATGCGGCTTTGACTTTACATATATTTGTAATTGATTGATAGGTTAGAAACTTAGTCAACAAGTTATTCATATCTTAGTAGCTTGCAAAACAAGCTAATTATATTGCACACATATAAAATACTTGCCTTGTAAGTTAAGGTATGTGTTTTGCAAAGTCAACATATTTTGGAGGTTCTATAGAACATCGCCACATAACTCCTAGTTAAGAATATATATGGAGGCAAAAGTAAAGCCTTTGTCACTCTTGTCAATGCCTTTTTAGTCTTTGGTCTTATTTTAAGACTTTCTAGTCTTCTTATCTTTGGCAATAACTATTCTAGTTTAATATTATATTATTTTTGAGTGATTTTTTAGTTCTTTTGACTGATACAAGAGTATATTGAGGTTTTTTTTTTTTTTTTTTTTTTTTTTTTGAAATTCATGTCTTTGATTCCTAGTTATATTGATAATTATTATAGTTAAAATGTATGTTGGTGACAATAGAACTTTAGATGGCTTCAATTGATTTAGAAATGTAAGAATATATGCAAAGAATATCTAGCATATTAGAATGGTCTATTGTGCAGTATCATGTCAATAATAAATAGTGCCGTTTCACATCATGGTATCAAAACAACATGTATTGTAGTACCAAATTCCTACCTCATTTCTTTTCTTGTATATTAATGATAGTAGCTACCTTAATTTTAAACTATTAGTAAATTAATTGCTTGAATGATAAGAATTAAATTATATTGAGCTTTGTGATGCATTACTTCATAAATTCTAAGCAATAGTATTACATAGATAAATCAATCCTACGTCTCAACATCACTAAGGCTGCATATAAATAATATAAGTGGAATACAAACAAATTTCAAGCCCAAATATAGATCAAATTGAACATAAAACCTTTATAATAGTCACATTTAAAAATACCACATCAAGTAAGAAATTTGGAAGAAACTTGCTAAAATATAAAAATCCTTGGAACAAATGACAAATTATTTTTTGCAAAAGAAGCTTTATAACCTCTACAACATTGATATAAATTTGATGGAGAATTTCTTCCAATTTTTTTTTTGAATTCAAAGATAAATAAACTAATGAAGGAAGAAAAATAAATAAAAAAAATATGGTATTTTTGGTGCTATACATACCACCTAAGTTATATGATCTTTTGGTGTAATTATTGGAATCTAAAAAATATGAAGAAATAATCAAGGATACAATATAATCTATACTTTTTAAATAAGAAACACAAAGAAGGGAGAGAAGCAATTCTTCAACCTCCACTTTATATGTGAATAAGCTTAAGAGACAACTTAAGAGGTAGTTGTACTTTAAACAAGAAAAGTAGAAGTCTAAGATTGAGAAATTAAAGAATAATTGTCAAATAAGTAGATTGAAAGGGCATAAAAAGAACAATCCAAAATTATCCATATCAAACTACAATATAATAAGCAATGGCATCAATGTAGTGTTGTTGGCCAAAGAAGTTTATCACAAGCTCCAAATAACAATAGTGTTGTTGGTTCTACATGAACATTGAAGATTTATCTTTGCATTGACTCAAAACCTCAAATATATGCATAACAATTATGTTACTAACATGCACATGCAAAGCAATAAGAAAAAAAAAATTTAACTTTGATATCGTTGTGTCGATATAATTAGAAGGCTATAATAATGTCATCAATTAATTTTGGAGATTAAAAAAAATGCATCTCAAAGTTTGAAACTTATAAAGAGAGAACATCCTTATACTAGTAAAGAATGTGCAATAGTAATATTGACATATTAATACTAATAAAGATAAAAATGATTAGATATAAGTAAATATAAACCTGATTTTTCTCAGTGTTATAAGGGTGCATTGTTCTTTTAGAAGATTGTTATGCCTTATGTTTTTGACATTGGATTATAAAGACATGTAATACTTTTCTATCTTTGGGAATTGAGTGCAAGAAGAGTTTTTATTTCAATCTAAATAAAATTGGTATTTACAGATTCTCTCATTCAAAGATACTTTAATTTGTGGAAAGATCAACAATAAGAGTTATATCATATTGTGTAAGGTCAAAAAATTAACTATTGTAGCTTATACCAATATTTCTAAGAAAATCCTTATCAAGTGCCACTAAGCATTAGCATATATTTTTATGAACACGATTCACATGCAAAATTGGACCACCAATATTGGATATTTGTAACCAAATTTGTAATATGGATCTACAATTAACTACCGCTTCATAAGTTCAATGGCATAAAACCATATGAAGCCTACTTCAATTAAAAGCCATCACTCTTGTACACTTGAAACTTTGGCTATCCAGTGTGATATCATGTGCTAATAGAAAATTTTCAAAAACTTGACACCAAAATACAAAAAAGAATTTTTGTTTAATATTCAAAAATAGCAAAAAAAATATGAAATATTTGACTTCAAAATCAAAAAAGTCACTCTTAGTAGAAATAAGATTTTTCATAACAAAGACATAGAAGCAAAATTTATTTAAGCCTCACTATAAAGCAAGGAAACGAAGAGTGGAGAAGACCATGCTATAGAATTGTAGCTCTAATATACAATGCTAGAATACCAACAACAAAGGTAGGAATAACAGATTTATATAGAAGTAGAGCAAAAGAAATTAAATATAGATATAGAATTATATACAATAGAAATAATTGAGCATGAGGATCATGTCCAATACAAAGAAGAGAGTGAATCCACTAAAGTTCAATAATTAAAACAATGCAATATAAGTAATTTTGATCCAATAAATATTATATAAGGAAGCCAAAGACATCAAACATAGTAGAAAGAAGATAAAGAATTCATATGGATTAATTTCAATCTCTCAAGAAAAATAATAAATTTAATTGGTACTAATCAATATATAAAGATCTATTCATTTGCACTCTGACTATCTTGCAACAATTTGAATATTTGTTGTAATTGTTGCCATGTGAAGTAGAATGTGTTACAACTAGATATAATATTAGCTTATATGAATGGTGAGTTTAAAGAAAAGAATACTTACATGAAATTTTTAGAAGATTTAGACATTCCATCTAATTACAAGGAGAAGATATTACACATTTTAAAAATCTTGTATGGCTTAAAACAAGCCATAAGATGATGCAACAAGAATTTAGATACATCTCTTTCAAATCTTGATTAAGAATGTTCACAATCCAATTATTGCTTGTATGTCATATACATCAATAATTTGGTTCTTATACTCAATGTTTATATTAATAATGTGTTAATTGAAGGAAAAAACTTTGAGATCTTTTTATTATACAAGAAAGAGTTGCAACAACACTACATGACAAAAGATCTTAGTAAGCTCAACCACTTTCTTGCTATAAATTCCTTGCTAGACAAAGAGATTGGCATTATATCCTTAAATCAGACCAAGTACATCACTTAAAAATTAAAATAATTTTAAATGGGAAATACAAAGAAAATATCAACTCTAAAAAAATAAAATAAAATAAAAAATCTTGTCATGCATCAAAATAAAAACCAAAGGATGTGGATAAAATAAAGTTCTACCAACAAACCATGGATTCATTACTATATTTATAAAATAGCATGAGATATAATATTGCTTTTGCATGCCAATACTTTGCTTAACATGTGGTGCATCTATATATCTCACATTAGTCAGGAGTCACATATATCTTAAAATATTTATTAAGAAGAAAAAACCTAGTCCTTTGGTATGAATAAAAGAATGTCAATCTAAATTTGGTGGATTATATAGATGCGGATTAGAGAAGATGCAAGATGACTTGCTCCTTTGTAGGTGGTTTTTTATTTATAATGGCAAGTGTAGTGATCATGTGGTCTAGAAAGAAGAAACCTACCTTTTTACTCTTGTTAATGGAAGTAATATATGTAGCTACAACCATAGCCACAAATGAAGCTTTATTACTTTCAAAGGTGCTCTTAGAATAACTAGGCATAATACTTATTCACAAGAACAATGCTTGGCTCATTCTAATTCTTTCGTCTACATAGTTGTGACCATGGATTGCATTAGGTTTGTTGTAATTGTATTAATGGTTTCCAAAGAGCTTATTGGAAGAAATAAGATTCTATTTTTTTCTAAGTTAATGGATCATAGGATCCTTTGAGCATTGGTGCAATAATCCATTATTGGGTGTAATAATTTGGTAACATGATCTAAAAGAAGAGAAAAGAAAGAAAATATTTACATCATAGGATGCTTATAAGTCCAAGTGATCATTGAAATAAGCACTAAGAGGTGACATGGTCGGCAATGGTTGCAACTTTAAATGGTGGATCAAAGGAATTTGAAGCTTAGATGTAGATAAATTTAGGAAGAATGTCTATGTAATAATAAAATATATATATAGATTAGAATATAATGATACATATATATTGGGATCCATTCAACATGTACCTAATTCTTGTATATAGTGGAAGACTATTTTGAAAAGACTTCATTTCCAAATGAATAAATAAATAAGATTTTGATCAGAAGTAATTTTATACCTCTAAAAGAAACAACTGTGGACAATTTATTCAAGGTCAAGTTTGCACATGAAACTGGTAGTGGTATGTAAGGTAAAAAGTATAAAGAATTATAACTTGTAACATACATACATACATTATTGTTCTACTATTGGTGACTTATACCCTTGATTTTTGTTGCAATCACAAATTCTGATAAAAATTGAAATTAAATTTAGATATTTAGAGATTACAAATGTGATTCCTATTCTAATGTGTGTGATATACTTAAAGACATTTAAGTACAATCACTCAATCAGGGGACCCAGGATGTGAACCATTGGAAACAGCGGGTCACAGACTGTCCACATGTCCATGATCTAGGAGATAGAGTAAATTCTCTATTGGCGAGTCCTCTGAAAGAAGAATGAACTTTGGAAGTAGATGTGCCTGGAGAAACGAGGAGAAATAATCTACATGTTAGCAAAGCGCTTCTTACAAACACAAAAAAAAACAAAACAAAACAAAACAAAAAATAAGAATGAACGCGTTCTGCTTTGTGTGATGTCAAAAGGGAATTGAAAGACAGAGCAACTGAAGTTGGAGGTGGAGCTTACCCACAGGACATAGACCTGTTAATGGTTACTATGGAACTTAAGGTTCCATCATGTACTCAATCCGGTTCAGGTTGTCGAGGAAAAAAAAGACTTTCAGCACATACTTGACTAGCAGAAAAAGGTTGACAAGAAACCTCGTCAAGCTTACCACTTCCGCAATTACGTGAGTCCCTCCTACGAGAAGTTTACTGATTTCTAATAATTGATTTAACAGTAGGCTCGCTCCTGCCTGAGAAAGCATTCAATGAACCGGAAATGACACACAATCAGTGTTCGTCATCCAAGAATCAACATTAACTGGAACTAAGCAGCCTCAGCAGTCTCATGTCCAAGAGGCACGACCACCACCAAGAGGAATTCTAGGGCGGAAGACAGCTGAGGCCGACACCCAAGGGCAGCGATGAAAACCAAGAGTCTGCAAAAAATGAAATCGCATTTGGTGAGAATATCCTGCAAGAAGTTTTGTGCAACAAATAGAATCATGTTCCCATCCTTGTGAAGAAAAATAGAAAGAAAATATTTCTGTACCGGAATGGCTAGCAGTAAGCCTTCAGCATTCACAAGTACGGGCAGGCCTCGTCTCACAGGCTTCGGGATACATCGAAGGATAGCCAAAACTCGTTGAGCTTTAGATGGAACATGACCGCCACAATAAGTCAGTTCATCATTCGGATTCTTAGAGCTGCGGGGACGAGGCTTTTTACTTGTATCTCTTTTCAAAGAGACTTTAGACAACTCCAGTTCCATTTTCCGGCTTCTCTCTTCATTAGTCCCATATAGATCACTCTCAAATCGATAGACACACCAACTGGAAACCTTGTCCTCCTTTCTTGTTTTGAAAGAGGTCTTCACTGACTGTGTAAGATGATCGAAATCTGTATCCTCATAATGTCGGATCCATGCAGCTGGTTTGTCCCTCAATAGACAGCATCGATTTATTTCATCACCGCTTAAAGGCATGCATTGCCTTTCACTAGACTTAACAGGTATTACTTTTGGTTCCCATGAAACTAAGAACCTATTCATGAAATAGCAGGTATGTCCAAACGGAAGCATTTGTTTTCGAATGTCTAATCCGTATGGCGACAGCTCAAGTCTTTTGTCACCTTTTTTACAGACTTCAATGGTTCTGCTCATGGTTTCAGCTATTTCGGTTCGTAAGGAATTCAATAATGTTGCGACCTCCTCCGAGACTAATCCTAGCTTTCGCCCTTGCTCCAACACGCTTGATCCCCCTTTGCTGGCATCAAGGATGGGTGGAATGCCCTCATCGTAGCATACTTTTTCAGAATTTAACAATTGAACACCTCTAGGGTTCAGATTTGAGCGTGCAAGGACTGAATTTGGTTCCCACGGACTTAAATCCGATCCCAGTGAAGGTGTTGGAGACTCGGGAGACAAGCACACCATGACCTTGGAACCCTTAGAACCTGGAACAGGCGACACATGGCAACCAGCTAACGTGAAGGCTTCCTGCACGACGCACCAATTTGTGAGTCTCAGGGGTGTCAAAGGTTGACGAAAAACTGTTAAGGAAACAAGAGATACGACGTTAAATTGGAATATAACCAGCAACATTATGTTACCATGAAAAACAATCCCTGCAGAAAAGTGTGGATGTTATCGCTCTCCATCATCTTTGAGACGGATAAGACTTATTAACATAGAAATTACAATTGAGGGTTCCAATAAATTATAGTTCCTCAATGCGACCACCAGATCTAGCAATTGACAACTCCAGTACATTTATTAGTTATAAATATTACTCTGAGAAAACAACATAACAGTACCATCTCTATAGCATATGCTACATGAACGTCCACAACTCCTAATGATTTTTCAAATACAACATCCTGCATTGACACCCAATCAAGCGCAAGGTGGACAAAACTGGGTTCAATTCTGAGGAAGATGAAGCAAATCAGTTCAATTGAGTATGTACATTGAATGAAGGCTGGCGAAGTTTGTCCATAAAAATCTTCAGAGCTTTCCCACGAGGTGGCTTCTCTCTCTGTGCTACGAACTGAGACCCTTGTCCAAAGGAACATCATATCAGCATATAAATTATGATGTTCAAGAAAATACGAGTACCTACGGAAATCAAAACAACTCACGCTTAAAGGCAGAGAGCTTTAAGGATGTTACGGATAAGACGCCGAATGTGACAAATCAGCTAAGGCTTACTCTGCTGCATAAAACTGCCAGAAGTATAAGGGCAAAGAGAACTTGCCTGCAAGACGGCCACCACGACTCTCCCAAGGACTGCATCGCTTATATTACTAGATGCAAGAAGATCAACATCAATTGAAATGTAACCAAAATCCTGAGCATAAAAAATTTCAATCGATTCAGGTACAGGGGTGGACGCTAGCCCTGCGACCACAATTAGCCTCCAACACGAACATCATCTATCTATTCAAGTCCTAGGCCCAATAACTGCATAGCGAGACTTCAACAAACAAAAGTATGATTACCAGTTGCACTTCAACTCTAAGAACAGGGAAACTAGACAGGGAAGAAGTCACGAAAAGTGAGCTATAACGTTACCTTAGAAATCGTTACGATCTTTGCCAACAAGCCATCTCTCTCTCTGTCAAGCATTGCCCGTGTCTGCCTACATGCAGCAATCAAAGGATGTATTTGCCGCCTAGCATCATCTGTAAGCAACAGCAGTGACGGAGTAAAGATATTTATCTCGTAATGAGAGCGAGTGCATCGAATCAAAACAAGATTACAACCCATACCCATCCCGATCTCAGCTTTGACAAGTGCGTGAGAAGATGATAACCTACCATAGAGAGGATCTGCAAGAACCTGGCGTATGCGATTACGTGCGAATTTGTGGTTGAAATTGGTAGGATCTTCTATCCACTCCTGCCCTGCTTTCTTACAGACCTGAAAATTATTCACAAAATGGAGTTATCACACAATCTGCCTCGAATTCAAATGTTCCCCTAAACAATTCGAATTAATGAGAGTACAGAATAATCGCCGTATAGTCCATACTTACACTCAGAGCCTTACAAAACTGGAGCAGCTGTTAACTCATGCATTAGCTGGTGGTTCGACACATTTATGTTCGTATGAGCATTTGAGACTATATCAAAGGGTGATAAGACGTACTGTGTACAAGTCTTGCTTAGAAAATTGTAACAAAGGTCTCACTAATAGCAACCCGGTTTGATCCTGTGACACTGGCCGCCGAGAAAAAAAATAAGACCTAGAGGCCATCCCCGCCAACCCTATAATCCCGCTACTGCGTGCCAGCCTCATCATAAAAAGTTCTGCCTGAGTAAGATCACAAACCATAAAAATATCAGGGTGGCCACATACAAAACTGCAGTAACTCCTCCGTAAGAATTTCAGATGTTGAGGGATCCTTGACAAGCGAAACTAAAACCAGCAATATTCTTTTTTCTGAGAGCGGGATTTGGTACAGCCTTGATCAGTGACACTATCCTCATCAGATTAATAGAGGCAACCAGTAAATCGGAAGTCACAAAAGCACCAAAAAGAAAAAATTAAATGAAAATTAAATTCAAAAAATCAAAAATCAATGGAAACCTGATCATCTGCATGGTGGCCAGTAAGTAAAGTGCCGATACCATGTTTCCAGCACGTCTGCTCCATGAGGGAATACCTGCAACGGATCAGGAATGAGGGTTACAATCAAGAAACAAACGAATAGGAATAAAAACGCATTTCTTTTCAGAACAATTCAGCTCCTATTTCACATGGTTCAAGGAAGCTGCAGTAAATTATACTCAAACGAAGGTAAAGTATACCTTGCGTTACGAGCTGCCTCTTGAAGATGACCAGAATCAGGACGTCCATTTAACCAGTCACATTTGAGCACATGACATTCGAAGCCTGAGTATACACATACAACGCTCAGGGTTTTGTTCCCAAATTATAAGCCGCATGCTTTGAACAAGATAAAAACCATCCACCACTACATGTAAAGTGCTAGTTCTGTAAAATTTCAATAAAAGATGCGAGGGGGTGTAAAATTGCAACTCAAGCAACCAATAACCCATTCACACCCTAAACCCTCGAACCTAAACCCCTAAACCCCTAAACCCTGAACTCAGATAGCAAATCACTGGTGAAATGTTGCCATATAGCCAAATGCCTATCACTATTAAATTCAATACAACCAGAAATTAGCGTAAGGTAATGTATTGCCAGCAAAATCAATAGCAGCAACAATTGTCAAGTTCCAAACTGACCAAGGTCTAACACCCAACGCTGCACTTGCAAAGCCTCGGCAGCACTCTCTGGACGCAGCCCATGGTCGACTACAATGCCTGTCGGCCTCTCCGCAAAAACACCGGATTCACGAAACCCCTTCCACCATTCCTTTGCCACCAAACACAGCGCCATGCTGTCAGGACCCCCGGACACAGCGATCGCTGCACTCCACCATTTCCAACAACAAACTCCACATGAAACCTCAAATCCATGTCACAAAACACAAAACCCAAACTCTCAAATTACGACAATTTACCCAATTGCCTCCAAAACCAAAAATCAGGTCAGGTCAATGCACGAGAAACATACCAATGCGATCCTGGGGTTGAATTCCAGCCGCTGCCATGAGACTAGCAAAGACAGCGAGAATATCATCCTGAGGTTGTTGATGAGCCGGCTGTGGCGATGGCGCCACCATTTCCTCTCCCTCTGTCGATGACAACACCATGTTGTCTCCGTTCTTGCCTTCACTTCACTTCTCTCCACTTCACTTCTCACAATCGAAATATGCAATGACCACTCGCTGCCAGTGAAACACTTCGCTTGAATCAGCGCCGAAGCAAACCCTAAACCCCCCCCCCCCCCAACCCATGCACGAAGTCTTTCTTTCTGTCTTTCTTTTTGCTCTTGGTTTGTGTTTCATGTTTTTCAATGGAAAGTCATTCTAGATGGTTTTCCTATCTTTTATTCTTATTTATAGTTTATAAATTAGTGTAAAACTTGTGTGTTGAGGGTCAGTGGGTTGAAGAAGGTAGAGTTGATTTGAATGAGGGAATGTGAAACTAGTGGGTTTAAAGAGTACGTGGGAAGAAGAACTTCGAGTTAAGGTTTTATTGAGCAAAAGTTAAAGATTTTAATACAGTGTAGATGATTTGACTTCGGATTGATGTTTTGTTTATGTTTTGACTGCTTGAATTTTATACGTCTGTTCATAAGATGGTGTATTTCTACCTCTTTATAGTGTATATACAAGACTGTTTGATGTGAAAAAAGAATTTGGTAGGAAAGTAAATCAATGAAAATTAAATGAATTTAAAGATGGTTTGATTTGATTTTGATTGTTACATGTTGATGGCCAGACACTGAAATGTTCATTTAAAACAACCACAGTCACAAGTTTATTATGACCCATCTTTGGAAGAGAATTGACCATTTTTCCAGAGAGTTAAAAATTCTATGTGCAAGTTATAAAAATAAATAATGATGAACATATCTATATCAATCTCTTAAAGAATCAACATGTTTACAAGTATAATGTTATGTAATTTATTATTAAACGGTAAAGTCTGTAATATTATAATTGCAAAGTTTTAAGAAATAAATAAATATTTTTTAATTATATTATGCAATTGTTTCTATTGACTTAGATGGTTACAATGGCTTTGATGTTGTACTAATAAATAAACATATACATTCATAAGCTAGAATAGAGATAAAATCCAAAAAAATGAATAAATCCATCTATTAGTTGTATTGGTTGAAAGGCTACATGCACTTCAAGTGAAGCTCTTGTAGAATTAAACTTAAAATTACAAGCCATTCAAATCAACTTTGTATATATGAAAAGAATTTTCTAGGAAAATATTTCAGAAACATAGAGAAGTATTCATTTGGAGATGTATGCAATGTTAAAGATATTACTAAAGTGTAAGTGGACTTTCTACTTATGTGTATATATCTATATAAATATAACTAGTTCAATATTGTTGTATTGCATTGCAACCAAAACATAATCATTTTGTTTTTGTTTTTGTTTTTAATCTTGTTTGTTCTTTAATGTTGACGATGCCCATTATTAGTGTACAATAAAAATAAACAACTAATAGATTCAAAGTTCCTCAATATCTATCAATACATGAATAAGGTTATTTAATTTATTGTATATAAAATCTTTTATTTGCAAAAAATCATATTCTACTTTTATATAAGATCCTTAAGTATTGAAAATTTTATATATAATAAGAAAAAAATGGAACAACCATCATTTAAGAATGCATGTATAAAAATAGAATACTTAAAAGATGACAAAGAATGAATATAGTGTCTTGAAGAAGCATTAGGAATACAAAAAACTTATAAGTAGTTAAGATTATTATTTATTATGGTTTTGCTTTAATATATATTAATCTATATTTATACAACTATATGATAAAATCAAAGCAAGTATATACAATGATGTACAATATCAAATAATTTATGTTTTTTAAAAAGCTTAATTTATTAATAATTTTTATTATCATTTGAAATTAAAAATTAGAGATGGCTCAAGGATAAGTATTCTATTAAAACAATATGCAACATCTTTAATGTATATGAATACAACTTCAACTTTAGAGATCATAATTAATGTTGTTAGATTATAAGTTTGTTTAAAAATTGTTTACATATATGAATAATTCATATTAGACATTATGTGATTACTTATGTAGATAATCAAAACCACGTTAACAGTTGACAACTTATAACCACCATATTAGCCAATAGTCAATGTGTAGTTATTTCTACCTACCAACCATCATACAACCTAATACGATAAGTGTTTACATGACAATTGGACCTCAAGAACTAAGTCAGGTATTAGTGTATTTGCACTAGAAATTCCATGTCAATAGACCACTAACATGTGCTATAAGAACTAAAACTTGAGACTCATGTCAAGTAGTTAGTTCTCTTAAACCCTCAATGGTTGGATAATGAGCTCATATGTATTTTACATCATTATACTTATATCCTATAGCAATATATACCTCATATTTTTTGACAAAGTTGAAAGAACAAGCACAAATAATTATTTGTTATGTTGATTGATTTCATGAACTCAAAATGATGATGTCGATGATATCAATGAGAGGATTTTTGAATTGTTTTATTAATACTTTTTTATTTATTTTATTGTAAATACAACATAACAAAAGATTAAAAAGGGGATAAAAACTATATCTTGTATAATTTCTTGATATATTTAAACCTAATAGAATACTTCTATCAAAGTTGAAATTCAAATTAAGATGTCATAATCTCTTCTTAATATATATTGCTTGATGTTTAGACCATTAAAATGGTTCTTACTTAGTTATTATAAGACTTATAAGTTATTTTATTAAAACCATATACTAATAACAAACTATAAAATACACTCAAATTTTCTCCCAAAAATATAATTACTTCCACTATTATAAAAACTTGGTTTTAAAACTGCAGCAATAAAAATCACATTTAAAATAATATTTAAGAAATGTTATGATTTATTGTTGCAAATATAAGTATGAACCATTAGACTATAGTATTTGTTTATGGCATATTGTATGTAGCGCTATCTCAATGAATGTATTTTATAAGCATTAAAGTTATTTTTTCAAATAAATTAAGAATAGAATACAATTTTTAATAGAATACACTCTAAATCTCACAAAGATAATAAAATTTATAGATATAGCTTAGCAATAGGAGGTGAAGTTGTTTTCTTATGCTTATTCAATTTTTTAATATTTTTATTATTATACATATATATGTATATATATATATATGTATATATATATATATATATATATATACATAATTTAATGAATATTATTCTAATTTGATCAAAATATCCTTATAGTTGTTTATTTATACTTTTAAGCATCACAACAAAGAAAGCAAGGATTTGCTTAAGCAATATTAGTCTTTGTTTTAAATTATGTAATTATGAGTGATTTTTATTATTTCTTTTTATTTTTCTAAGAATTAAAAAATATTTAATTTCTTATTTTTATAACTCAATCAAACATAAAATTGATAATTTATGAGTAAAGTTTTAAATTTTTTACTTTGATTTTAAAATCGCATTAACCTACTTAGATTTATAATTCTAAATTCATATATATATTTTTTTCCAAAATCAAATAAACTTTTTAAGTCAATTTTTATTATTATCAACAAGTATATGGCTATTAAGAAGAAATTTTGATAGTTTTAGTAGGTTGAAAAGACCTTCAAATATAAGTAAAAAAAAATCTTTTTTTAAAGATTTATATATCCTTTTTTATAAATAAAATAAGTAAATAGATAGTATAAGGATTTAGATATACTATTATATACATTTTAATGAGATATACATAAAAATCACTCCATCAATTTACATATTTTATTGATTTAATTGTATAATTATTTTGAATGAATATTGACAAAATTGGAAGTATTTTTTTAGATCTCAGTAATATTTTTGTCTTTTCTAAGCCTCTTCACTATCTTAAAAAATAATTATTCAAATAAATAATTTAAGATGCATGATAATCTATCACTACAATCATGTCAATATAATTGTATAAAAATACAAGAAACTTTTATTCTAAAGTACATGACATAATATTATGATGTAGAATATTCTTAACTTCATGCAAATTAATTCTTCTAAACAAACTTATCCTTCAAGAGTTATAAGCCTAATTAATCTTTAGTACACTATTTAAGTAAAGACTAATAATATTTATATTTGCATATGTGTATTATATAGCTCAATCTTTATAACAAAAATAGTCAAAAGATTCAATAGATGGGTTGAAATAGGGCAATTAAAATTTAGGATTATTGATTTATGATTTATCACAATCACATTAGGTATTAGGGACCATATATAAGACAAGGATTCAAGACCAAGAAATGGAATTAGCTTGACATTAGAACAATAACTAGATACAAGGCAAGAAGGTTCTTGATAGACCACAAGAAGTGAGTTGTCAAGATTGAAGATCCCCTCTGCCTCGACTCTTATATATATTAGGTCCTAGGAAGCTTCTAGAGAAGTTTTCATAAGACTTGGAAACAAAGCAAGCCTAAGATCCTTCTTCAATGACTTCCTAAATCATCTAAAGAATTCTAAGACCTTCCAAGACTTTCTTAGAATCTATTGGAACATTTTGGAACCTTTTAGGATCTAAAAAAATATTCTTAGAATATTCTAAAATCTTCTTTAGTTGTATGTTTGTGACATCACTTCCTTCTCTAGCTTTGATGTCTTCGAGAAGCAATGTTGTTGCAAGTCAGTATATTCGCAAGAAGTAGAAGATCTGTCGCATTGTATCAGCTATATATTTAGTTATTTTTTATGAGGCAAATAGTTCATAAGCCCTTGTAGCTGTTGATAGTATTCTAAGCCTTCTACTTGTAATCAAGCATGAACTTTGGTATCTTTGTTATGAAATTATCCTACAAACACTCCTTCCATGTATCCTTCATAGGTAGATTCTACCTCAAATATAATTACCAACGACCTATTATTGGATATCCTTCGACGTCTTTATAGTTTAGGCAGTTCTTCATCTCAAGATTGTCTTTGTGAGCTACTTGATTGAAATAGTATGACTATCAAAGTATCTATCTCTTCACTATCCATATCATATACATTAGATAAGATAAAAAGAATATAAACAGGCTATAATCGTAAATTTAAACATCTCATTTATATTATTCTAAATATTTGAAAAAACTACCTTTTCAAAGATTACCTCGTCCCCTTCTTTATGAGGCCAAGAATTAAAAATCTTCATGGAGAAGCCATCTTATTAAGCTACTATTTTTCATTTTGCCGCTTTTGA